GATTATATGTCTGAGTCTTTATTCTTCATATGTAATTTAAAAGCAAACTTTTCTTTGTAAAAACTTTAATTGAATTTCAATAAAGTTAAAGGCATGGCCTTACCGCTAATATTTAAAAAAAAAAGTTTAATAATCAATTGTTAAAGGTTTTTGTAGCTTAAGTATCATAATTCTTAAAAGAAGTTTTAGGTCAATTTTTTAGAGAAAGATCTTTTATTTTCATTGTTTGTAAAATTTTAGTTTATTAATTATAATAAAAATTTCTAAAATAATAAGATTGTGATCAGATTTTAGTGAATAATTTTGAAATATATTATTATATTTGATATTTATAATTGATAAATTAATTCAGATTTAATCAATTCTACTTTATATATTAGAATATTGAAAAGTGTAATTAGTATTATTAGGGAAGAAAAGTCAATAAATATCTTTGTATTAAAAACTAAAAAGAAATTTAATAAGTTAATAATTTGGAATAGATAATTTTTTTAAAAGAAATCTGTTTATATAAGAATTAGAAACTTTATTAAAGTCATCTATAATTATAGTTTTGTAGAATGATTTTTGTGTTAGTAAGATTGTGTATTTAAAAATTTAATTTAACAGTAGTTTGTTTTCTTAAGTTGGAATATAAATTGAAAAATTTTAATAAAAATTTAATTTATATTATTAATTAATTACTAATATATATATTTATTTATTTGCTGTTTAATTTAGATTCTAACTTATATAATTATTAAATAAATATTAAGATCTTTATTACTAAACTAATATAAATAGTAGTTGGTATAAAGTTATTTAAAAGCAAAACTATACTAATTATTTTTAATAGACTCTTTAGTTATTTATTTCTTATAATTTAATACTAATATATAGTATATATATTAATTAATTTTTTGTCTAGTAAGGTTTACTTAAATTTTGTTAATCTGAAATAAATATTATATAAAATAATACAAATTAATTACACATGTTTTATATAGATTTATTAATTAAGATTATCTAAGTAGAATAACTAAAACTTAGTCAGTATTCTTATATAAGTTATCTAAATAACTTTTATATAGGTTTCTTTAGATTAAATAGTTATTTAGATTTAATTAACTAGTACAAATTTCAAAATATTGAATACAAAAAGAAATAATCAAATATAATAACTAATTATTAATTTTATAATGTTTAATGTAAATAAAGTAATTTAAAGAATATTAAATAATAAGGATAGTGATCCTAGTGTAGTGGTTAAATTGTCATCCTCCAAGTGGCAGGTCTAAGGTTCAAATTCCACCTATGATAAGATTTAAAATTATATCTGCATTATGGTAACTGTCTTCTGTCGATTAGTTGGCCTTATGTGACTGTTACTTAGGTATACCAAGTTGGGTTCTATCAACATTGGAAGCTTAGGCATCTATATAAAGTGTAACATTATATATACATAGAGGAATGTATAACTAGTGTTGCATAAAACTTCAGTGCAAACCCATGATAAGACCATTAGGTGTAGAAGACTAAGGAACTAAGGTGACAGAAACCCACTTGAAAATTCCTAAGTAAAGAAGTAGTATAAACTTTCAATAATACTATCAGATCAGTTGAAGCTCACAAAACACCTTTATAAGAGCTGAAGATTAAAACCAAATGTCAAATATGTGTAAAGAAGTGCATAACTAACCAGGCCACCAGATTCATTAGAGAAAAAAGATATAAAGTATATCATACTAGGTCATCTGAATTGATAGTTTGAAATGAGACTATGGTTCTGAGTTGTGGCTAGTAGAAAATGATAGAGAAGATGCTAGGAAGATAGGTATTGAGGTTCTAGTGAACTTTATAAGAGTAGAAATAGTATAATGTAGCAGCTAAACAAGTAACCTCTGTGACTACAAATGTTAGATACTATAGCATATTGCATAAAACTAGGTTTATATATGTGGGACATAAAGGTACTAGTAAGTTTCCTATTAAGAATAAACTAGTCCTAAAGGTAACAACAAGTATTAGAAACTTGAATAAGTGTAGCCTTGAGATGTTCACATAATACAAGAAGAACTGCATATGCAGAGGGTTTAAATAGACAAGACCTCTAGTTGACTTGCAGGTATGGCAACTAGTGTAAAACTTATATAGCAATATGTAAATGGACTACTTAAATTAGGCACCAAAAATGCATGTGTAGCTAGTTATAACCTCCAATGTAAAGTGAGCCACTGGTGGCATGCCATGTTCTAATATACTTAAATAAAAATATTGCATCTCCAAAATAGGAACTTTAATTATAAAAAAAAAAAAAATATTAAATAATAGTAAATAATAAATAGTTATTACATACTTTACATGCAATAACTATAGTATTTTATGGGTAATTCTGATTGGTCAATGATCTCAACCAGTATGGCTGATTTACTGAACAATTAGGAAGAGAATATAAGATATGATAGTTATTGCTATATAGTATACAATAATGAATTTTTTTTTTTACAATGATTAGTGATTCAAAAATTAATTAATACTAATATATAATTGTGAACTTTTTGAAGCAATAATATAAATAGATTTTTATCTGATAATACTTTTTTTACTGCTTTTAATATTTTTACTATGCTTCTAAGAGTATATATTTTAAAATTTAAGAGCTGTGCCTTCTTAATGACAAACCCAAAGTGTGTGCTCTTAGTTAATATATATTATAATCAATAGTATTATATATTTAGTCTTTTTAAAAGTTTTTAATAAATCTTATAATTAGTATCTGTAATAAAGATAAAAGTTCAGGGGTGTGACAACCTAGTAAAGTAGATAGGTTGTTAATCTCAAGTAGCAGATCTAAGATTCAATTTCCATGGATGACGAATTTTGGAAATTATACCTGTGTTATGATAATTGTCTCTACTGATCAGTTGGGTTTTGGGATCTGTAATCTTAGATATACCAAGTCGGGCCCTACTTTACATTGGGAGCTCAGAGCATCTATGCAAAGTATAACATTACATGATACATGTACATAGAGAAATGTGAAAACCAGTGTCGTATAAGGCTTCAGTGCAAACTCATGATAAGACCCTGGGTATAGAAAACTAAGAAACTGAAGAGACAGAAACTTACTTGGAAATCCCAAGTAAAGAGGTAACACAAAACTTTCGATGGTGCCATTGAACTGATAGAAACCTATGAAACACTTTCATAGGAACTGTCAGATAAACTGGATGACAAAGATGTATAGAGGAGCACATGACCAACCAGGCTGCCAGAATTGCTAGAGGAAAAGGATACATAAGTATACCATATCAGACTATCTGGATTGGGAGTCTGGGAAGTTAGTTAGTTCTGAATTTTAGCTAGTATGGGATGATAGAGAAGAAGTTGGAAAGATGTGTACCAGGGTTTGTATAAACTTTACAAGGGTAATAGCGATTTAAGAGGTAACCCTAACTGCAAGTATTGGTCTTGGCCATAATGTCAAACCAGGTTAGCAGTAAAAAGAGAATACAGCTTACTCTGGTAGGTTTACCTCAAGGATAACTGTCCTATGATTAAAAGCGAATAGATCTGGGTCTGTGATCTGGTGAAATTAATACTAGGGTAGATCAGAGGGTTTAAATAAAACATCTAAGCAAAGGTGTTAGGTACGGCAACTGGTAGAAAACCCTCAGGCAGACTCCTTAAATAGGTAATATAGAAAAGTTACACGTGTAGCCAGTTGTATACTCATCTAATAGTTCAATATGGATACATCTGCATAAAACATGTACCCAACATAAGTATTAATAAAAAACTAGTACCAAAGAAGTCACCTTAACACTGAAAAAAAAAAATAAAGATAAAAGTTTATTAATATCTGTTAATAAAGCTTCAAGTCTATTAATATGCATCTGGCAATACTTATAATACTGCCAATACTGATTCAAAATCATAGTACTGCTAATATTGATCCAAGTCCATAGTATCTGCTAACACTAATTCAAGTTATAGTACCTGTCAACACTGATCCATATTCATAATATTTGTTAATATTGCTTAAACCTATAGCAAGTTTTTCAGATGATAGGTTATAATTTAATATTTAAAATAAAGTTTTTACTTGTTATTTAATTTAAATTAATTTTACTGGTATGTTAAGAAAATAGAAAACTATATGCTAAAAGCCATAATGATTACTTACCTACCGATACAGAAATTGATAAGATAATTGAGCTTTGTATTTTTGAAAATACTCATATGACTATAAAAAAATGAATAAAAGCCTTGAATTGATAGTAAAATAATGATGGATATTGTTATGATATTGAAATGATCACTAATAAAAATCACTTAAAAAAGAAATGATGAAATTTTTTTTTAGTATGTAAAAAATTTAAGATGAGAGTAATTATACTCTTTTATCATTAGTTAATGCATATAATTGTTTAAGTAATTATATTTTCAAATATCCAGGTGGTAATAAGAAATTTATAATTAATAATAAAAATAAATTTCTTTTATTATGAGAAGTTTTTAATAGTAAAATGTAAGTTCTGAAACAATCCAGAAAGACTACCAAACATTACGATCCATTGTCATCTGATGAATTAAGAACAATATTTAATCATGAAGCTTTGTCGATTAATACAGTTAATGATCTTCAAAATCAGGTCTTTATGTGGTGTTGTCTTCTTTTTGCTCCATGTAATGAACATAATCAAATGAAGATTACACAATTCACTTTTCTTGACAATGGTAGAATTCAGTTTACAAAATTTTCTCAAAAAAATGATTCTGGTGGTGTTGAAGAAAATTTGGATTCACTTATTATACCAGTACCAGCAGATCTGAAAGAATATTTAGGACCTGTTCATGATATTAAGCTTTATTTAAGCAAAAGATCCACAAATTATACATGTCAATTTCTTCATTTTAAAATTAATAAAAATATTCATGATATTTTGTAATGTTGTTTTTTTTAAATTAATAAATTACATATTTAACTTAAATTATTTAATATAGAATACGAAAATGGTAAATTCTATCTTATTTATTATATTTTAAGAATTTACTAAAACGCTATGCATGCATTATCTCAAAAACTAATTAATCAGTACGAGGTGTTCTAAGTAAAAATGGTCTACGCCCCTGAAAACCCTTCCCAAACCCTAATACTAACTTAAAAACTATCCTAATGTGAAAAAATTTAAGTCAAAAATTTCTATAACAAAACTTATAAAAACTTAGAAATTTTAAAAACACCATAGGTGCGTTTTATAATAATTGTATTTTATTACGTATAAAAATCTTTTAATATTCTCCTATCATAAATTGTCAAATAATTTTCTATTTTTGGAGGTTGTGTTACAGGGGCAAGTAAATCCAAGGTCAGGGAAGTATCGGTCTAAAAACTGGTATTAAACAAACGATCTAGTAATAGGGGTATTTAAATATGTGATACATAAATCTATTTACATAACGGCGACGGAATTTTAAAATAGCTTTTAAACTCTCTAATGATGATCATTCTATTTTGAGTGAGGTAGGTAACATAGATCTAGAATTCACTTATTTTGCCCCTGTATCACAAACAAAAAAAAGGAAATATAACAAAAAACCTACCGTTAATTGTGCAGTTAATTGTTAGGGTAAGTGGTAAAGACTAAAGTAGTTTATACGCAAGATTTCATTTTTTATACTTTTACATAATAAAAGTGATTCGAAAGTTACTTATATCGAGAGTCAGTTTAAACATTACTATTCCATATTAGGTTTGTTTATAAGACAAAAACGTCCTAACTTAACTCTAACGATAATTGTTATTTGTTGTACACACAAGCACCTAAAACGTTGTACACGTAGCTTTCCCTTTTTGTAGGATTCACATCAGGGGCTTGTGGATTTTGCGATGTACGTACGTTGCAAAGGTCGAAAGAGATTATCAAGTGAATAGTTAAGGAAAGAATTATTGAAATAATGGAATAGAAAAAAAATAGTGTTGATAAGTAAATTAAATATCGATTTTAGTTTGTAAAAATTATGTATTTAAGTAGCGAAATTTACTTTGAATAAAAAAGCTCGTGGAGTTCTAAAACCTTCGAAAAAGAATCGCTCGTCGTTTTCGTAAAACCTTGTCTTCGTGATCGTCGTATACTCTATTTCCGTATCAAATAAGAAAGAGAAAAAGTATCGATTAGTCATCAAGCCTCTTATATATTAATTACGAAACTGATTAGCTCATAATTAAAAATCGATACCACATAACTGATCGGGATCGTAACCTGTGCCCACGTGACACCGTGAGCCTAGTTCGCGATTGTAATACTACTGACGAAAGAAATAGAGCGGTAGTAAAGTAGCCGGGAATTGATTCAACTATCAACAGCGAAATAAAAAGAGGCCTTATCTGTTACGGTATTATCCTTATAACCGCCAAATAACCCTGTTTACTCGGATCAAGTCTTTCCACACCTTAATCGAAGCCTTACCACTATTAAGGTTGGGTTATAATAGTACTGTAATAGTGTTCTAAATAGCATAGTTTAGTTAGTATTAGTGTCTATAGTGCGTTATCCTATATCGACTCTGCAATTTTTCCGACGCGGCCTAGACTTTCTCAATGTACATACTTGAAAGCGTATATGTGTAGGTATATATACTTAATATCACAACAAATCACAAGGTCACAAGTCCCAATTCATCTGTGATGGTCATTCAGGACAGACATGCACAGACAGAAGCCTGAATATTTACCTTAAAAAGAAACAAAATAGTATTAATAACTTTATCATGACAATTTAATTTAAGTAAAAGTGTTTAACATCAATTTTACATATAATTATATATCATTTTATAATTTTTCTAAAGCTTCATAAAAGTGTAAACATGGATATTGAACATGACAAAAAAGCCTTCAAACAAAAATGGTCACAATGATTTTATAAGCCCTACTTAATAATATTAAAAGTAACTTTGCCGTATGTGTTTACAGGGCTCCGAAACTTTTATAGTTTACTCGAGAAACATTATTATTTATTTGTACATTTATTATATAATGTAATATATAAAATGGTAAATATTTTGTCTTCTAAATAAAATTTTGAGCTGTTTGAGAAATTTTTCATATAGCAAATGTTATTACTTGTTGGATAAAGAAATTCTGTGCGATATTTTACCCGTATTTGCCACAAAGAAGTCCAAAGTTTTAATAATTGCAAAAGTTTTTCCAAAATTAAAAAAGATACCTCGATACATCTGAACAAGTTTTGACTTTAGGAATTAATACCGTTGCTATAATTTTTAATAGATAGATATCTTGGGTATGATCTAACCATTTGTGGTAGTCGGGTCAACACTAATCTCTACGTAACATTTGAAAACATACACAAATAAGGTTAACTAATAATTCTTATAATATCTTTAAGTTTCGAAAAGATTCAAACAATTACTAACACCTTGAATCATAGACAGAAGTATAGGTGCAGAAATTTGATCGGTGACGTAACCTTTTTGTAGCATCCACGGTCATAACTCAAGACATGACTGATACGTCAAAAAGCCATAACTGACGTTTGTCGTAACGTTAGATACATGCCATAACATTGACTTATGTCGTAACTTTAGAATTGTGCCATAATATTCGACAATACTAATCATTGTTATCGATATTAATTAAAAAGTATTAAAGCCGGTCTGTTTAAAATTTTTTGTAATAGACCTTCGATATAATGAATCTTTAAAAATTTTTACTAATGAAATAGGTCTCTTCACTAAAATGAAAGTGGTTTATAAATTGTCCTTTATTAAACAATGTATTATATCATGTAGTGCTTGGATCTGTTGAAAAATCCGTTGGATAATCCGATGGATATTTTTTATTGGATATCCATCGGATCATCCGAAATTAGCTCAGAGATTGTGTGGTGTGGTGCAGTGCGGGGCAATTAATGATAAATGTAATGACGACTGATAATTTAAAGCTTATTTTGATAAATCAGTGATGTAATAATAAATAATAAAGAAATTTAAAAAAAAGATTTTGATGAATAATTAAACTTCCAATTGTTATAAAACTCTATGTACATACCTAATAAATATCGGTGTGTTACTTTATGAAGCATCGTATACGATTGATAAATTAACAGAAGAAAAAAAAATCCAATAGCGAACTCCAATAGATTTGGCATATAAGCATTAATTAATCCTATAAAATAGAAAACAATAACGAACATATCTCATCTATTGAAAACCCTAATAAGGTTCCTCTAAAGGATATTACATTCACAACAACTACACTAGAAAATAATTCAAAGTTGAAAGGAGGATCAAGAAAACGAAGTTGGATATGGGATCATTTTAAAGATTTACCTACTAATCAAGGGTTTAAAGGATGGTGCAAAGAACTAAAAAAAGATGGAAATCTATGTAATCATATGGTTGAAACTGATAGTAGTACAGGAAATTTCAGTGACTATCTTCAGAATAAGTATGGAATTATAAAATTTGGAAGACACAAATCATATGTTTTTTAATTAACAAACAATGAAAAATTTCATCAAATAAAAGATAATGTCATTTATAAAGAATAAGCAGATAAAGCTTTGGTTGAATTCATAGTTATTGATTTTCAATCATTTTACATACTAGAAAATCCAGGATTTATAAAATATTTACTAATGCTTAGTTTATCTTATCAATTATCTAGTAATAAAGAAATAAAAAATAAAATTTATTTGGCTTATGATTGGATGTCAATAGTTGTTTATAATAAGTTAAAGAAATCAATAAAGTATTGTGAATTGATGACAGATTTGTGAATGATACATTGTAATTCAGGATAAATTGAAATTACATGTTTGTATATTAATCTACAATTTGAAATGCAAAAAATTACTCTAACAATTCATGAATTAAAACATCTTCATTCTAATTCCACAATTATTACTATTTTAAAATTAATTTTTCAGAATTGAGATATCAATAAAAAATAATTTATAATAATTATAGATAATACAAAAAATATGATAATAACAATTAATAAAATTAAAGAAATTAATCAATTTGTATATAGTGTATACATTTTACAACTTGTAGTAAATAAAGGTCTTTTGTTAGTTAAAATATTAGTTGTATAAATAAGATGACTTATATCTAGGGTCCGGAATGGGCCGGGCCAAACCCGGAAATTTATAGGCCGGACCGGGTTTGGGCCTAGTCTGGGCACATATTTTTAGGCCCAATATTTTTATGGGCCGGGCTTGGGTTAGGCCCGCTAATTACTGGGCCGGGCCTGGGTTTTTTAAGCAAGCCCGGGGTTGTTCAATAATACCCGGTAAAAAATGCAAAAAAAAAAAAATCATTTTTTTTTTTTAGCATTTACAGCTAAATTCAAAGTTCGTGGACCACCCTAAGAATTTATCCCGAATTATTGTCGGAATGGCGGGTAGATTATGTATTGTATTGATATTATCAATATCTAAAACTCGTGATCGCCATCCCGACAATAATTCGGGATAAATTCTTAGGGTGGTTCACGAATTTTGAAATTAGCTGTAATCCGAATTATCAGATCAATTGGTTTGCGGATAGAAGCACTTATTATAATACTGATATCGGATATTTTTGTAGTGATGACCAATACCACGGATCACAATCGTTCAGGTTCATATGATAAAACATGGAATTGGTCGTGTGTTATTATATCAGTTAAATCAGTAAACTTTAATGCATGCAGAGTTAATTATAATTTATACACAATAACGATAATGCATAGAAGTGTTATAAATGTGCAATATGAGATAGTATGATGAGAAAAATAACCCATGATCTTTCTTTTCTCATAAGCAAATAAAGTAATAAAACACAAACCTCATAATCCAAGTAGTGAAGATAAATACGTGGTAAAAGTGCTGCCAAGATAGTGAAACAGGTTTCGCTCATGCTGCAAGATTTCAAGGCCCATTTTTACTCAATGACAATATTACATATCAGGTATGTTGCGGTAAATACTTACTTTATATAAAAGGTGCATGTAATACAATGCAAAATAATGTATCAGACGATAGAACCTTGTTCGTAAATGCGCGGGAAATCTAAAACCTTATTCTCCTATATGGAATATTCATGCTATGAGAATGCCAAATTTAGATTATCTTCAACGTTTTTAGATTGCACAAGATAACTAGCTTAGATAAATTGATTTTTGCACTTGATTAAAGCTATATAAAAAAAGCTTTAAGATTTTGCTTCATATGTATTTCATTGTGAATTGCATAAAATCTTAGAATTCTTTTGTTGATTCTTATTGAGAATCTGTCGAGGTGGGATGCTAAATAAGTTTGTTCTTTTGATTGACATGGAATCGGGATCGATATTAATTTAAAATAATTTTTTTTAGGTTATATCATTTGGTGTTCGAATAATAGTTTGGTGATATTCGTAAAAAATGGATTACAGTATGTTGATAATTGCTAAAGAAGCTACGTATCATGTATTCTGAATAAGATATTTTATATTATTTCAGTTAATGAAAGCCCTGAAATAACCGTTGACAATGAAAGCTTTGAAATAACCAAAGATCCTGAAATAGCTACCGTAAATGAAAATTCCGAAATATCAGACATAACCACTGTAAATGAAAATTCTGCTATAAATGAAAATACACAAACGGCTACTACTGATAACAAAAAACGTAAAAGAAATAACCTGATTTCGTGGGTCTTTGAAGAAGGCCATTTCGTTAAAGATCCTCAACAAAGTAAAATTTTTATTATAATATAATTAAATCTATAAATTAGTTAATATTTCTTTTTTATATATATAATTTGTTAGTGGATTATGCCATATGTACGCATTGTAATAAATCTCTAAAACATAATAATGACACGGGAACTAGTTCTTTGATTCGCCATATGAAAAAAACAAACTGCAAAAAATACTTAAAGGTTGATAAATCACAACAAAAATTAAATTTATCAGCATCAGGCCTTACCATTCGTAAATTTTCTCAAGAACAAAGTCGTAATGACTTTACACAAATGGTTCTTAGACATGGTTATCCATTTAGTATAACTGAGCATGAGGGTTTTCTAACATTCATTAGTAATCTACAGCCACAGTTCAAGATGGTGAGTGAAAAGACAGTACGCGAAGACTGTATGAATGTTGTTGAAGAATTTAAAGCAAAAGCCCATATTATGTTACAAGAAGCACCTGGACGCCTAAGCTATACGACAGATTTATGGACGTCGAATCAGACTCTTGGTTACATGGTTGTAACATGTCACTTCATTGACAAAGATTGGAAGCTTCAAAATCTAGTCTTAGCCTTCAAATTGATCCCTGCACCGCATACAGGAGTTGCGATCAGTGAAACTCTTTTTAAGTGCTTTGATGAGTGGAGTATTACATCAAAAACATTAGCGATTACCACGGATAATGCTATGAATAATGATACTGCAATGGATGATTTAAAAGACAAACTTGAAGAACAAGGTGTTCTTGTTGACAATGGAAGTTTATTACGGCAACGTTGTTGTGCACATATACTAAATCTCATAGTTTGTGATGGTCTAAAAAAAATCAAAAGTATTATAAGTAAGATTAGAGAATGTGTGAAGTGGATAAGTAGCTCGCAAGCCCGTCAACAAAACTTCGAAGATGCTGTATTCGGATGCTGTAATGATCTTGTATCTAGTCTACGACCAACTCTTGATGTGCCTACCAGATGGAACTCTGTATATCTAATGCTAATTTCTACTATTCCCTATAAAAATGCGTTTGAACGCCTTTCATTACGAAATACTGGATTTGGGCAGATTATGCCTGGTGACGAAGACTGGAGCAAGGCCGAGATTATTTGTGAATTTTTAAAGCCATTTTACGAGGGTAATTGTAAAATTCTAATTTATAATAATATTTGAAACCTCTTTTGTTTAATATTTCAATTATATCTATATCTAAAAATAATTTTGTTAACGAAGACCCTGTATTCAAGCCTAAGTACTAACTAATAATTTTTTTAATATAGTTACGAATATTATATCAGGAAGCAAATATTTGACTGCAAATATTTTTCTTCCTCATTTAATAAGGATTAGGATCCACCTTGAACAAAATGCTACTAATACAAATCTTTTTATTTCTCAAATGGTCACATCTATGCAATCTAAATTCAACAAATATTGGGCCGATGTGGAAGATACGCACTGCGTGGCGTCAATAATGGATCCTCGCTACAAGATGTCATTTCTTGCACATATTTATAAACAAAAAATGCATATGTCATATATTGAAGCTGAAGACAAATTAAATTCTATTAAAATGAAGTAAGTTAGATCTTGCAAAGTTAATTAATTAGTTCTCATAACTTGACTAGGCCAAAATTCAAAATTTTAATAACCGGGTGAGTTTTTGAAAAAAATTTTTTTAGAAAAAAAAAGGCCTACCGAGTCTATTTATAAGTCTTATGTTACGAGAACTGATAAATTAAATGATAACCCAATAAGAATTTGTTATTTTTGATAATTTGGTAATAATTTTATTTTTATAGAGCTACAACGATTTTTAGGTCAACCTATTTGCAAGGCACGACTACTTCTGTCAATAATCGTAATTTTTTTAATGCTACGTCTCAGGATGATGAAATAATGAAAGATTTTGATCTTTTTCTTGTGGACAATCAAGCTAATCCGACAAATAAGTTGGATGAATTTGAACAATATCTTGCTGAACCACTTCTCCCTCGCTCTTGTTCTGGTTCATTTGATGTTTTGATCTGGTGGAAGGAAAATGCTTTAAGATATCCTTCTCTTGCATCAATGGCACGAGATATTCTGGCCATCCCGATTACATCAGTAGCTTCCGAAGCAGTAAGTAAAGTTACAGTTGTGTATTAGTTTATAATTCTGTATAATAAAAGCTAACTAATTATTTTCAGGTATTTAGTGCAGCTGGAAGAATCATTAATGATGATCGATCAAATCTTAATCCAGAAACCATTGAAACATTAATATGTGGTCAAAATTGGATGAGAGAAGCGAGAGAACGTGGATGGACAAGTTAAAATTGGTATATTGTATTTATTTTGAATATTCATAAGTAAACAGCCGCTGTCAATAGAAATTAAACCAATTTATTAAAAGAATTTGCCCGATTTCTATTAATAGAGGCCAATAACTAATCTTTTTGTGTGTAATATTCTTCTACAGGCAACTGCTTCATGAAATTGTGAATACGAATACGCCCGGGATATTTAGACTGAGGGAGTTTTATTTTTGTTGTTTTTTTTTTTAAGTGGCTAAGTTTATTGGTCCACTTGTTTTACTAATTTGCTTAATGAGTAGATTAGCATAATACACATGAAAGAGATTCGTTTGATTTTATTAATTCAAACTATAAAAGGTGAATTCGATTTTTATATGTTTGTTTTATAAAAAAAAATATATTGGAGCATATTTTATTGCGAAGATTATACTGCTTATCAACAAGTTGGAGAAAATCATCGGCAAATAGGAGAAAGCCTAGCCCAATTATTAAAACCCTTAAATGAAAAAATCTAAGGAAATTTACTCATTTTTGGGGCCTTTGGTCTCGAAGGCCGAAATATTATAGTTATCCGGAATATGAAAATCTGAAAGAAATAAAATTGGCTTTGCTTTTTATTATTTTGTTTCTTCTGTTACCACCTTCGCTGAAAAAGTTATGATGCCCTTGTCATCTTTTTCGTTCAAATACATGTAAAAAAAATCTCGGTATATTGCTAAATAAATGTCACTTCGCGAAGGAAATGGCTAAAAGAGCAATAAATATCAGTGTCTGTAAAAGAAATACTAAGACCGTTTAGCCAACAATCGGTCAAATTTTCATAACCATGTGCTTAACGTAATACTGGTTCTCTTATTTATGATTGCCATCCTGGCGGGTTCGCAGAAAAGACAAAGTTAATTCACTTACTAATATACTACGATCCAAATTAAATCGATTACTTCATACTTTCATCAATACCAATTACCTGATTACCTCATACTTACGTTCTATCAGTCAACCGATCAATCGAACATGTGATTGTTTGATCGGATGTGGGTTGATTATTTATTTGTAGAAATTGGCGGGCTATTTGGGTCAGTTTTGGGCCGGGCCTAATTTTAATTCAAGGCCCGCCCGGGCCCGTCATTTGGGCTTTTTTTTTTCTTGGGCCGGGCTTGGGCTCATAAATATTTTGCGTGCCTAAGTATGGGCCCTATTGAAGCCCACCCAACCCGGCCCATTC